GCTGACATCGCATTTGTAAGAAACGACACTCCAACTGCCACTGAGAACAAATTGATTTCTGCGATCGATGGGAAACGCGATGATACAAATTTCAGCCCGTACAGTTCTCGTCATTCTGCCGGCGATTCGACAGAAATTTCTTCAGATGCGAAAAGTAGAGTACGTTCTGATGATCAGCGGCAAGTTACGAATCAACAATACGCGAATGACGAGAGAAATGAAGCTGTGAGCGTTTGGACCTCGTCGAGCATCGAGCATTTTTACGAGGAAATCAGAACGATCAACGAGCCGCGCAGCATTTTGCACGACATCCATGATTACTACGAAAAGTACAGTCCCACTACGGCGAAGACCCTGATAGACACGCTTTTCCTGCCGCAGCACAAGATCTGCCAGGAATGCGCGAGAACGAGTCCGGTGTACACCGACCGTTTGATATACACGAGACAGCCGTTGCACGCCATAGAGGTGGTTCTGTGTCAGCGCGACGACGTTTCGTGCTTCAGATACCTTCGAGAGGGATCCGACGATGCTCTTCACTCGCAGTACAATCAAAATCGAGACTGCATGCTGATCTACAGTTACGCGAAGACCAACGCCGCGGGAATATTTTACTCTCATCGGCCGCGGGATGTTTTCGACTTGAAGTCGCTGTTGAAACCGAGCATTCGCGTCATCAGTCACGCTTGTCGCAACGCCGTAGTGAACACGCAATTGTACCATCGTCGCGTCAACAATTATTATGTAAGGATATCGAGAACCGGCTGCGCATCCATGACATTTTATTGCAATCGCGGCACTATGATAAACTGCACGAAACGCATGAGTTGTTACAACGACGACTCGCAGGACTCGCTGATCCATCGGACGTACCGATCGAACGACGATAGTATCGAGGAAAGTCGTCGGAACAGATCGAGCTTACTGCTGCTGGAACCGTTACTGCTAATACCGGAATTGACGAGTGGAAGAAGTGGGCGAAGGAAGAACAGTAAGAATCGGGTCTTCCGGTCAAAGCGCACGAAGATTATTAGAATACTAATAGCCTACGTGTTATCGTTTTTTATTCTTGCAGGCATTACATTCTAC